TAAGAATGAGGAAGGGGATACTTACCTGGCAGGGGAGACACCATGATCAGAAAGGTGGTTTTCCTGGGCAAGGCTCATCCATTGTGCTGACCCCTGCGATTTCCCCAAGTGCGGGAAACTGCATAATTTGTGGTAGTGGGGGACTGCGTCCACGCTCTCCCCTGGAAAAAAAAAGAATGAGGAAGGGAGACAGTGAGAGAGGGAAGAAGAGGAGGAGGGGGAGGAGGAGGAAGAGGAGGAAGGGGAAAGGAGGAGAAAGAGGAGGAAGGGGAAAGGAGGAGAACGGGCACAGGGAAGAGATGAGGGGGCCTGAGAAGGATTGAAAGGGTGGTAGAGGGGAGGGACAAGTGAAAGAATACATACAGTAAGAGAGGAGGAAAGGGAAGAAGAGTCCACAGAAAAGTCCAGGACCTGGGGTGCCCCCAGCTGGAGAAGAAAGAGCACAGGCTGAACCCCATCTGCCCAGATCTGCAGAGCAACTCACCCTGCCCCTTGAAGAGGACCCCCAGCCCTGGCCTTCAGGAGCTGCATGCCCCTTGGGGCATGGAGGCATGAACCACAGCCGGCAGGTCTAAGCCGGCAGCAGGCTTCCTGCAGGAGGTGTTTGAGGCAGGAGAGAGGTTCAAAGCCATCATTGGCCTCAAAGGAGTCTGAAGCCAGCCTCAACTACATGGCACTGTCTCAAAAGGAAGTGGGGGGCGGATAAAGGCACCTGCTGCCAAGCCTGATCACCTGAGTTGGAGCCCTGGAAGCCATATGGTAGGAGGAAAGAACCAGCCCTGTCAGCCTTCTCTGACACTGTTCTCGTGGAACACTGTTGTGGCCTCAGCATGGTGGGAATGTAGGCCTCCTGGATATCGCAGGCATAGATATCCATGTCTGGTGTTTCCATGGTGTTTTGCTACAGCAGAGCAGCCCTCCTCTGAAGGTTTTCTGTCTTGCTAAGTAGCTTTCCCAGCACTCTGACTAGGGCAGACTTTCAGATGGCTTTTTCTGTCTGCGGAATTGGCTGCTTCAAGGCTGCCGGTGCCGTCCGCTCCTAGTCTGAGATACAAGAGCGGAAAGGGAATCCAAAGGACCCCTTCTCCTGCTGGAGGGGTGTGTCATTTCCCAGGGGCCCCAAAAGCCCCTGCCTGCTCTCCTCCATTTTGAAGGTCTTCTTATTTTTCTGTTACATATAATGCCCGGGGAAAAGTGAATTTACCTAATCTCCCTGGATAGAGATATACAGTCTTAAAGTTACAGTAATTAAGATGTGATTGAGTACATGAATTATGAGGTACATGTCTGGGAACAAACCTAAAACCAGATTTATAATAAAGCGTAAATGTAGAAAAGTAGGAAATGCGTTGTATTATTTAAATATATTTATTAACATTTATTTTATGTGTATGAGTATTTACACCCTCATGGCGACTAAACAACCATCCTTAACTCCAGTTCCAGGGGATCCAACACCCTCTTCTGAGCTCTGCGAGCATTGAACCACATGGGTGCACTTACATACATGTCGGCAATACACTCATACACATAAAATAATAACGATATTTTTTAAGGGGAAACATACAAAGGGTTTTGCAGTACAGATGTGTGATGGCTAGTTTTAAATGTCAGCTTGCCATAGCTTAGAATCACCTGGGAAGAGAGTCTCAGTCAAGAAATTATCTAGATCAGGTCGCCTGTGGGCATGTCTATGGAGGATTCTCTTGTGCAATGACCCAGCCCACGGTGGGTGGCACCATTTCCTAGGCAGGGCGCTAACCTGTGTAAGAGTTAAGAAAGACAGTTGAGCAAGCAGGCAGGCAGCATGGGTGCATTTGTTTCTCTCTGCTCTTAACTGTGGATTTGAGAGCATTAGCTGCTTAAGTTTCTGCCTTAACTTTTCAGATAATGGATCACAACCTGGAGTTTTAAGCCAAATAAACCATTTCCTCCCCTAAGTTGCTTTCTATCAGACTATTTTATCACAGCAACAGAAATGGAACTAGAACAGATACTCAACAAAAAAACTCATATCTAGAGCATATAAAGACTATCTGCAAGTGAATAATACAACCAACTTAAAATATGAGCAAAAGAGTTAACCAGGCACATTACAAAAGAAATCTAAATGGCTAGTAAACTTTGGTAAAAGCACTCAATATTACAGATTTGAACCATTATGAAACACTACCACACACTGATCAGATGGACGGAGAGTAGAGAGTCTGACAACACCAAGTGCTGGTGATGCTGGGCAGCAAGATATTTACACTGCTGGTGGATGTGTAAATCAGTACACTCACTCTGGAAAACCAGTAGGAATTGTCTCAGAAATATGAGTGGGTTTTGTTACTTTTCTCATATTTATAATAACTAAAGGAAACAAGAGAGGAAGAACTTATTTTGGTTCATGATTTAAAAGGACATACTCCATGGGGGGAGTAGGGCACAGTGGTTGGGACCCCCATCTGTGGTGGCCAGCTGCTTGTTACATGGCACTGACCAGGAAGGGGAAATGGGGACAGGAAGCAGAATTGGGACAAGTCCCACCCCCAAGTGACCCACTTCCTCCAACAAGGCTCAATCTCTTAAAGTTTCCACAACCTCCTAAAACAGCACCAGCAGATGGGGACCAAGCATTCAAACACCAAGCCTGTAGAAGACATTTCACATTCAACCCATGACAATGAGGATTTGCATTCTGAGTGATGCAGGACACAGAAACGAATGCTCATGTATGCCAGGTCAAGTGCACAGGCAGTTTTTCATAATGGATACTGGAAAACAAATGTTCATCAGAGTAAAATAGATAAAGAAATTGTACTGGAATCATACAGTGAAATGACTATTGCCAACAAGGAGATTTAGCAGGTAAAGACACTTGCCACATAAGTCTGAGGAGCTGACTGTCATCCCCAGAACTCACATGATGGTAGGAAACAACCAACTCCCACAACTTGTTCTCTGACCTCCTCAGACACATTATGATATGCACATGCCCCCCACACCTCTCTCTGTCTCTGTCTCTCTCTGTCTCTCTGTCTCTCTCTCTGTCTCTCTCTCACACACACACACACGCACACACACACACACACACACATACACACACACACACACACACACACACACACCCCAAATAGATTTAAATTTTCAAGGGCTAGAGAGATGTCTCAATGGTTAAGAGTACTGGCTGCTCTTGCAGAACACCTGAGTTCAGTTCCCAGTTCATGGCAGCTAACAACTATCTTTAACTCCAGTTTCAGGGGATCTGATACCCTCTTCTGGCCTCCACAGGCATTGCATGACATTGGTGCACATGACATACATGCAGGCAAAATACTTATACACATAAAAATCAATCAATTTTTTAAATTTTTAAATAAAGACTGTGAACTCCAACTCTATGTGATATCATGGTTAAAACTTTAAAATACTATAATGAACAAAAGAAACCAGAATAAAATAAATCATATTGCATGATTTCATGTCTATCTATAAAGATCAAAATCAGGTGAAATTGGATGATGTTGCTCAAGGTACATGCTAGGGTCGAGTATTAACCACTTTTCTTGTGTCTGAATGAATTACTGAAAGGGAAGAACGCTCTATTTTGGCTCACAGTTTTGGAGGGTTCAGTCCATGGTGTCTGACCCCACACAGGAAGAACACCACAGTGATGGGAGCATGTGGTAAAGGGGAACTGTTCACCTCATAGTGAACAGGAAGCAGAAAGGGCAGGATAGGGACTGGGAAACCTGTCTAACTAGCAAAGGAACACCCTGGGACCTACTTCCTCCAGCTAGGGCTCACCTGCCAAGATAGCACCACAGCTGGAGACCACAAGCCTGTGTGGGTGGAGAGGGCATGCTAGATTCAAAACATAGCAGGTAGCAAAATAATTTTAAAGATTTTAAGATTTATTTTATTTTTATTTATGTGTAGGTGTATGTCTCTGTGTATATATGCATATGTGTGAAATTCACTGTAAAAGCCAGAACACCTGGAGTTATAGGCAATTATAAGCTGCCTGACTTGGGTTCTGGGGCAGCAAGTATTCTTAACCACTAAGCCATCTCTCCTGCCCCAGCAAAATTTTTTGGTTTTTTTTTTTTCTTTTTTTCTTTTAATGTGTATGAATGCTTTGCCTGCATGTATGTAAGTGCATCTTGCTCATGCAATGCCCATACAAGCCAGAAGATGGCATTGGATCCCCCAGATCTGGAGTTACAGACCATTGTTGCTGCCATGTGGGTGCTAGGAACTGAGCCTGGGTCCTCTGCAAGAGCAGCCAGCACTCTTAACCACTGCAAAGGCTTGGCATGACAGGCAGAGTGGGCCACGTGATGTTGACAGTGTTCAGTTTCTTGACCTGCTTGGTGGTTCATGGATCTTTGCTTTGCAATAGTCTGTTAACCTGCATGGGGAAGAAGAGAGCAGCAGAACAGAGGAAGGAGCTCATTTATTAGGAAGTGCTCAAACAGGTCTATTCTCCCACAGAGGCAGCTTCGATAGAGTGCATAGCTTCCAATGCTGGTGGACTTAGATTTGAATTTTCTGGCTCTGCCACCTCCTTGCTGTTTGACTTTGTGCAGTTTCCTTACTCTCTGTGTTGTGTGGCTCTCATCAGTAAAATGGGACTGATTATATGACTTTGTGTGAAGATCGGGAATTCTAGGCATGCAGGGAATACGGGAGCTTTGTTAGTAAATTCAAGTTCATACATTAATTCAACATAAAATCTCTTGAGTGCCCCATACTACCGCCCAGCATAGAACACCACAGGCAGTGAACTTGACCCCAAGATACAACTTTCAAAACTGGGTCTTCGCCCTATAGTCAGTGAAGCCATTGTTGTACACTTTCCCACCAAAATCCAGACCAGATTAGGTTTGGGCTAGCCTGCACCCTCTGGCCTAGCCAAAGTCCCAGCTTGAGGAGGGCAGTCATGTGATTGAAAATCAGGAAGCCCTCACAGACCCTCATTGGCAGCATGGTCCTACAGCTAGACCTGGTGCTCAGGGCCAGGATTTTCCTACTTCAGCATTCAAAAAAGTAGAAGATGTGAACTGAAGTTCCCAGAAAAAAAAAAAAAAAGGCCTATATGTTAAAGATTCTGCAGGGGTGATTGACTGATG